AGGGGATTGACGGAGGTGGGGGGATGTTCTACCTCAGTCTCTTTTTAACAGGAGCATAGTATTTCTTACCTGTCCGTTCACTCCCAATGAGGCTGACAATGTGCTAGGTGCTGGGAATACAACTGTGATCATGTAGACAAGGTTTCTCCCCTCGTGGAGCTTGTAGTCTGATGGCTAACAGTCAATAAACACAAATGAACTTGATAATTGTAGGTAATGCTTAAACACTATGAACAAGATAAGAAAATATCTGTGGGACTGGGGTGGGGAGAGGCTGCTTAACCTAGATTGGAGGTCAATAAATGCCTCTCTGAGAAGGTGACATGTAAGTTTTCACTTGAATGATGAGATGGAAGCAGTCTTGAAAAACTGTGATTTTTCTAATCCCCTCTTCATTCCTAGGATCTGTAGTCGGGAAGAAGTAGTGGTCCCTTATGCTTCTGACAGTGATTCAGGAAGTGTGGATTTGCAGCTGAGCAACTTAGAGGATGTTAAAAAAGGCCCAAGTAGCCTTGAACTTACAGGTGAAAAGGGGAAAGGTTAAAAAAAAGGGGAGGGGGCAGGGGCAGAGAAAAGGGAATCTCTTTTCAAGTCAAGTTGCAGGGTTACCAGACCCTGACTCGATTTTGACAATGAATTTGGTCCCTGACTTTAAGACCCTGGAATAGGGTTGGCAAAATGAGATAAGATATATTATTCTAGACATACAGGAAACTAAACTGAAACAGATAATCCTACAGATTTGTGCAGAGTCTAAGTGCTAGAAGGATTCTGAGAAGGGAAAGGTAGGTGTGAGTGGAACCTGGATTGGGCTACAGAATAACTGTCTTTCACTGATTCTACGAACATGTATTGAGTACCAGTTGCTGGGCATACAACAGTGAACAAGACTGACCTGGTCCTTGCCCTCACAGAATATACATTATAGTGCTGAAAAGACCAAAAAAAAAAGTAAATAAAGTAATTACAAGTTGTAGTAAACATTATGAAAGAGTGAAACAAGGGGTTGAGACCCAGAGGGGAGATGGGAACCTACTTTAAAGCATGGTTGTCAGAGAACACCTGCTGAGATGGTGCTGTTTAAACCTAAAGAAGGCCTCAAGGACATGAGAAAGCAACCCATGTGAGAAGTAGAGGGAAAAGCATTCCACATGGGTGGAACAGCATGTACATGAGACAGGAAAGACTATGGTGTGTTTAAGGAACTACATTCATTCATTTGTACATTCAACAAATACCAGTTTCCCCCACTATCCAAAACTGGAGCATTCCTATGAAAACTTTCATAAGCTGAAATGGTGTAAAGCAAAGTAGCGGTTACCATTAATTTATATGGGAAAAATGTCTGAGCGTTCCCAGACTCCAAAAATAATCTACCAAAATAAATCAAGATAAAACATAGCTGCTCACAGACGCAGTTCAAAGCTATGGCAAGTTGATGCTGAGATGCTGAGTGTAGTTCCTGGGGAAGGAGCTTGGTGGCGCCACTTCTGCTGCTCAGGGTACCACTGCCTCCATAAAGGCTCCCTGCAAAACAAACGCTGAACACTATAATTTCGCTTTTTGTAAAAGCGCAAATCCTCTTCAGGTTTCTTTGGGTTAGCAAAAACAGTACTAATGTAAGGTCTTCCATAAAAGGGAAGTAGCGTAAAACGAACTTTTGGATAGTGGAGGGAACCTGTATTTATTGAAGCCCTACTGTGCTCTAAACACTGATCTAGCCGCTACAGACAGAACAGTGAACAGAACAGACAGTGTACTTATAAACAAATGGTTGGAATTCAGTATAATATCTGTGAGGGGGGTGGGGGTGGGTGTAGGGAGCAGACACAGAGAAGTTTATTAGCGACTAGGAGGATACTTAGCCAAGAGGGGGTCCAGGAAAGGCATCCTGGAGCTGAGCCCTGAAGGATGAGTAGGAGTGAGCTAGGCAAAGAGGGGTAGGGGAAGGTGGGGGAGAAGAAGGAAAAACATGCAAGCAGCAGGAAAGCCTGTGTGAAGATCAGAGGTGAGCGAGAACATGGCTTCTAGGGAATGACAAAAAGGTGGCAGGAAGTGGGAGGAAATTGCAGAAGAGGCCAAAAAGAGTACAAAAGTAGAGTGGTAGAAACCCTCAGATGATAGGTGTGTTAAGGGGGAAACAGTAAGACTATTTGCCCAATAGGAATAAAGGATTTGGTATTGGAAAATAGAAGAGGTAAGGACATAAAGCTACATGAAGAGGAAAATGATGCCACCATAATCATTGTCACTCAGTGAGCAAAGGAGTAATACTTGCCAACCCTTCCTTGGTGCTAGCTCCATATCAGCCAAATGAAGTGGGTTCTATTATCATCCCCATTTTGGAAATGAAGAAATAGCCCAGAGAAAGTAAGGTCGCACAAGGTCAGAATGCTAGAAAGAGGCAAAGCAAGGATCTGAGCCTAGGCCAACCAACTCT